TGGAGAGCAGGGAACTTTGGATATTTCCTGAGGATAAGACTTGGGGTTTGGGGCTGAGAAGGTGGCTCAGTGGTAGAGCACTTGCCTTGCATGCATGAGGCCCTGGGTTTGATTCCTCAGCACCACATAAGCAGAAAAAAAAAAAAAAAAAAAAAAAAGCCAGAAGTGGCGCTGTGGCTCAAGTGGTAGAGCGCTAGCCTTGAGCTGAAGAGCTGAGGGACAGCGCCCAGCCCCAGAGTTCAGGCCTCACGACCGGACCCAAAAACAAACAAAAGACTTGGGGTTTTAAAAATTGGAAAAATTAGATGCAATGGATGTCTGTAACCCTGGCTACACAGGAGGCTGAGAATTGGAGGATCATAGTTTGAAGCCAACCCAAGTAGAAGAATCTGAGACTCCTATCTCCAATTAACCAGCAAAAGGCCAGACTGGAGGCATGATTAATTGGTAGAGTGTCAGCCATGAGGCGAGTACAATGTGTTATTTCAAGTCCCAATACTGGCACCAAAAAAGAAAGGAAAGAAGGAAAAAAATATAAAGAAGCCAGGCTGGGAATGTGGCTTAGTGGTAGAGTGCTTGCCTTGCATGCATGAAACCCTGGGTTTGATTCCTCAGTACCACATACACAGAAAAAGCCAGAAGTGGTGCTGTGGCTCAAGTGGTAGAGTGCTAGCCTTGAGCAAAAGAAGCTCAGGGATAATGCCCAGGCCCAGAGTTCAAGCCCCAGGACTGGCACAAAATAAAAAATAAGGAATCTGGGCACCAGTGGTTCATGCCTCTAATCATAGCTACTCAGGAGGCTGAGCTCAGGATTGTGGATCGAAGTCAGCCTGGGCAAGAAAGACCATGAGACTCTGATCTCCAGTTAATTAGAAAATAAAGCTGGAAGTGGTGTGTGGCTTAAGAAAGGAAAAACATGGGGTGTGCTATGGCTGTATTAGGCCCTGAATGTGATCCCCACCACTAACACACACACACACATACACACACCCCAAAAATCAAGATTATCAGCGAACAGTAGAGCATTAAGCAAAATAATCAGACATTGATAGGTCTCTATATAAGATTACTGCTGATGGGGCTGGGAAGGTGGCTCAGTGGTAAAGTGCTTGCTTTGCATGCATGAGGCCCTGGGTTCGATTCCTCAGCACCACATAGCCGAAAAAAAAAAAAGCTGGAAGTGGCACTGTGGCTCAAGTGGTACAGCACTAGCCTTCAGCTGAAGAGCTGAGGGACAGTGCCCAGGCCCAGAGTTCAGGCCCCACAACTGGCAAAAAAAAAAAAAAAAAAAAAAAGATTACTGCTGATGGAGGCACTAGACAGTATAGGCTGAGATCCAAAAAGTAAATAAAACTCTTACTTCTAACCATCAAAGAGCTGGGCACTTGTGGCTCAGTCCTGTAACCCTAGGTACTGAGGAGGCTCAGATCTGAGGGTCAAGGTTCAAAGCTAGCCTGGGCAGGAAAGTCCATGAGACTTATCTCCAACTAACCACCAGAAAACCAGAAGTGGCACTGTGGCTCAAGTGTAGAGCGCTCACCTTGAAGTGAAGACCTTAGGTACAGTGCCCAGGCTCAGAGTTCAAGCCCCACAACTGACAAAAACAAAAACAGAAGTAGAGGTATAGCAGAATTGGTACAGTACCATCCTTTTTTCTTTTTCTTTTTCTGCCAGTCCTGGGGCTTGAACTCAGGGCCTAGGCACTGTCCCTGAGCTTTTGTTCAAAGCTAGCACTCTACTACTACAGACACAGAGCACCACTTCCAGCTTTTTCTGTTAATCAGGTACTGAGGAATCAGACCCAGGGCTTCATGCACGCTAAGACACTCTACCACTAAGCTACTCAGCCCCTGTGAGACTATTACCCTAATAAACTACTCAGAAAAAGCTGGAAGTGGTTATGTGGCTCAAGTGGTCGAGCACTAGCATTGAGCACAAAGAGGCTCAGAGACAGTGCCCAGTCCCTGAGTTCAGCCTCAGGACTTGAAAAACAAACAAAACAAAAAACACCTGGGGTTCACATTGTGACCTTTTTTTATCTTTGTCTTGTTTCTCTGGTGTTGGGGTTTGAACATAGGCCCTTGCACATGCTAATGAAGTCTACATATTTAGCCATGATGTGTTTTTCTTTTTTCTTTTTTGTTTGTCGGTTGTGGGTGCTATCCCTCAGCTCTTCAGCTCAAGGCCAGCAATCTACCGCTTGAGCCACAGCGCCACTTCTGGTTTTCTAGTGGTTTATTGGAGATAAGAGTCTCTTGGACTTTCCTGCCTGGGCTGGCTTTGAACTGTGATCCTCAGATCTCAGATCTCAGCCTCCTGGGTAGCTAGGATTACAGGCGTGAGCCACCAGCACCCGGTGCCATGATGTGTTTTTCTAAAACAAATTTACTGGGGCTTGGAATGTGGCTCAGTGGTAGAGTGCTCGCCTAGCATGCATGAAGCCCTGGGTTCAATTCCTCAGTACCACATATACAGAAAAAGCCAGAAGTGGTGCTGTGGGGGGCTGGGAAGGTGGCTCAGTGGTAGAGCGCTTGCCTTGCATGCATGAGGCCCTGGGTTCGATTCCTCAGCACCACATAAGCAGAAAAGAAAAGCCGGAAGTGGGGCTGTGGCTCAAGTGGTAGAGCGCTAGCCTTGAGCTGAAGAGCTTGAGGGACAGAGCTCAGGCCCAGAGTTCAGGCCCCACGACCGGACCCAAAAAAAAAAAAAAAAATTAAAAAAAAAAAAGAGGTGGTGCTGTGGCTCAAGTGGTAGAGTGGTAGCTTTGAACAAAAGCAGCTCAGGGCCAGTGCCCAGGTCCTGAGTTTAAGCCCCCGACTGGCAAAAAATAAATAAATAAAAATAAATCCTAAAACAAGTTACTGGTGAATTATTTGTTCCCACATTTATATAGGTCCAAAAGAAAGAGAAATTTATATTTCCTGTGGGTATACTGAGATAGAGTCTCAAAGACTCTGCAGATTTCAGCTGTCTCGGTGGGTAGGATTACAGGATTACAAACATTAACCATGGATACAATATTTTATTTTATTTTTTATTTTTTTTTGTCAGTCGTGGGGCTTGAACTCTGGGCCTGGGCGCTGTTCCTGAGCTCTTCAGTTCAAGGCCAGTGCTCTACCACTTGAGCCACAGCACCACTTCTGGTTTTCTGATGGTTAATTGGAGATAAGAGTCTCATAGACTTTCTTGCCCCAGCTGGCTTTGAACCGTGATTCTTAGATCTCAGCCTTCCTGAGTACCTAGGATTACAGGCGTGAATTACTGGTGCCTAGCTCTTAATTTTATTTTTTAATTAGATGTAAAATTGCAGGTCTGATGAAAAAGTATAAATCATTTATTTAAATGAAAGATTTTTTTTTTTTGGTTAGTTATGGGGCCTGAACTCTAGGCTTAGACATTGTCCCTCAGCTCTTTAGCTCAAGGCTAGTGCTCTACCACTTAAGCCACAGTGCTATTTCTGGCTTTTTCTGCTTATATGGTGCTGAGGAATTGAACCCAGGGCCTCATACATGCAAGGCAAGCACTCTACCACTTTCAACTACCATATATGATATATGACCTTTGCAATTATTTCCACTTAACATCATGTGTTTGTGTGTGTGTGTGTGTGTGTTTAATAGCATTCATAAATGATGTTTTTTTTTTTTTTGTCGGTGGTAGGGCTTGAACTCCGGGCCTGGGCGCTGTCCCTCAGCTCTTCAGCTCAAGGCGAGCGCTCTACCACTTGAGCTACAGCACCACTTCCGGTTTTCTGGTTGTTTATTGGAGATAGGAGTCTCAAGGTCTTTCCTGCCCGGGCTGGCTTTGAACTGCGATCCTCAGATCTCAGCCTCCTGAGTAGCTAGGATTACAGGTGTGAGCCACCAGTGCCCGGCGTCATAAATGATGTTTTTTGTTTGATTCTTTGGGGCCTGAAATTTGGGCCTGGGCACTGTCCCTCAGCTCTTCAGCTCAAGGCTAGGGCTCTACCACAAGAGCCTCAGCACCACTTCCGGTTTTCTGTTGATTAATAATAAGATAATAATTAATAATAATAATAAGAGTCTCAGGGACTTTCCTGCCTGAGCTGGCTTTGAAGCATAATCCTCAGATCTCAGCCTCCTTACTAGGTAGGATTTCAGGCTTGAGTCACCAGTGCATAGCAAGGTACTGTTTTCCTTGAAATTGGTGAGGTAGCTTTCTGAGATTGTCCTAACAGAATGTGATGTTTTCATATAGGGTACATGTACTTTGAAAACTAACAAAAGATTTTCCCTCTTTTGTTGTTGTTGTTCGTGGGGCTTGAACTCTGGGTCTGGGTGCTGTTCCTCAGCTCTTTAGCTCGAGGGTAGCACTCTACCATTTGAGCCACAGCACCACTTCTGGCTTTTTCTACTTATGTGGTGCTGAGGAATCGAATTCAGGGCCTCATTCATGCAAGGCAAGCGCTCTAAAATCACTGAGTCACCTTCCCAGACTGTGTTTTTTGTTTGTTTGTTTTTGGATCTGGTTGTGGGGCTAGAACTCTGGGCCTGGGCGCTGTCCCTCAGCTCTTCACCTCAAGGCTAGCGCTGACCACTTGAGTCACAGCGCCACTTCTGGCTTTTTTCTTTTTGCTTATGTGGTGCTGAAGAATCAAACCCAGGGCCTCATGCATGCAAGGCAAGCGCTCTACCACTGAGCCACCTTCCCAGCACATAGACTGTGGTTTGTTTTTTATTTTTTGAGTTGTGAGTCTTGAACTCTCCATCCCTAAGCTCTCTGCTCACGGCTAGCAGGCTACCACTTTGAGCCACAGCATGACTTCCCTCTTTGAAGTAGTTAATTAGAGATAACAGTCTCACAAGAACTTTTCTGCCCCAGCAGGCTTCGAATCGTGATCTTCAGATCTCAGCTTCCGAGTAGGTAGGATTACAGGCGTGAGCCGCCTGCGTCCAGCTCATTTTCGTGTGGCCGGGGCGGGGCCCTCTAAGAAGTGGGCGGAGCCTAGATGGAAGTGTGGGAGGGCTCGCATGGGCAGTGGGCGGGTCCAGGGTGATCCGGGTCTCGCGGTGAGATCTCGCGCTGGTTCTTCCGGGAGGCGTCGTCATGGTGGCGCCTGTGGTGTACTTGGCGGTGGCAGCTCTGCTTGTCTGCCTTATCCTCTTCCTGACTCGCATCAGGAGCCGAGGGGCAACAGGTAGGAGATGGTACCGCTCCGGGACCGGTTGAATCTAGTCCTTTGGGCTTCCGAGCTTTTGTAGGCTGTGACTCTGCCGCCATTGCGCATGCGCCAGCGTGCTTGGCAGGGTTAGGGAGCGGTCAGACAAGTCGTGCGCATGCGCATTTGTGGTAACTACGGGGACCGATGCGGACCCTCAGAGCTAAAACCAAATCTGGGACCAGGGAGTCAGCCCACCTACCCTTTTCTTCACCCCTAAGCGAGAGTCTTGTCCATCCTCTTCACCAGCTGGCACCTATATCACAAGGGCCAGGTCCTAGCATGTACCCTGTCATTCATTACCATCTGTGCTCTTAGGGGAGGCCACAGGGTTTTTCCCCTCCTCGACTGGCTCCAGACTGGGTGCCGGGAGGAAGCATCTGAGTGTTTTCTGCCCTCAAGGGGCTGAAGGAAGTATGAATAGGTTCCAGGAAATTCTTAAAGCCCTCACCAAGGAGAGCATCTAGGCCGCCTTGGTCTCTGCTCCACCTGGTTCTGCATCCTGGTCAGAAGGTCATTCGTTGGTCAGAGCACAGGGCAGATGGCATCTGTCAGCTCCCATCCCCATTTCTTGTCAGTGTAGGGGTTTGTGTATGTGTCTCTCCTACTCCCTGGGTCCACAGGCTATTTCAGAGAATGGGCATGCTCCAAGAGCACGGGAGAGAGAAGCTGAGATAAGACTGATAGGAAACATCTTCCTGAGGGATGAGATTTAGACCTTGCCTGGCAGATCTCCTCTCTAGTTGGGATGCCATACAAAACTGCAGCAGATGGGGTTAAGCAAGAAGTAAGTATTTTGAAGTGGCATTCACTGAGAGACACTACAGTGGGAATATAACAACAGGTAAACTGGGATAGTGGGGTATTGAAGGTAGAGAAAAATTTCATCATAGGCAGAGAAAACAGGTACGCTTGCTGCATCAAACCAAGGTGTGAGCTGTAAAGGACTTGATAGCAGACTATGAAGTTGGAAACTTATGCTATGGACACTAAGAATCTGGAAGGAGGTTGAGCAGGAGGAGGAGGCTTCCATTATGTTACTTCCCCAGCCATCAGGAGGCTGGGGTGCCTGATAGCATTGTGGTTCCTCTCTTCCCAAAGCTGGTCAAGAGCCATTGCATAATGAGGAAGAGCCAGTAGTAGCAGGCCGGCTATCCCAATTTCGGCCCCTCGAGCCTGAAGAGCAGAGAGCTGGAGGCAGGCCCAGGCGCAGGAGGGACCTAAATAGCCGCCTTCAGGCCCAGCGTCGAGCCCAGCGTGTGACCTGGGCAGAAGGGGATGACAATGAGGAGGAAGGTGCAGTCCCAGGTAAGAAGGGTTCAGCCTTATGGGGAAGAGAGTTGGATTGAGACCCATACTCAGTGGGGTTGTTGAGTGTGAAGCAACAGTGCAGGAGGGATGTCTGGGAATCACAGAGTAGGGTCAGTAAAGATTTAGAATCTGGGTCCTAGAATGTGGCTTAGTGGTGGAGTGCTTGCCTCATATGCATGAAGCCCTGGTTCAATTCCTCAGTACCACATACACAGAAAAGGCCAGAAGTGGCACTGTTGCTCAAGTGGTAGAAACAGCTCCATGACTAGCCAAAAAAAAAAAAAAAAGATTTAGAATCATTGGCCATGGGGCCAACAATTCTCTATCCTAACCATCCATTTGGCAAGCCCCCTCTCAGTATTTAAGCAAGAGGACAAGGGTTTTCAGAATGATCCAGGAGGGGCTGGGAAGGTGGCTCAGTGGTAGAGCGCATGCCTTGCATGCCAGAGGCCCTGGGTTCGATTCCTCAGCACCACATAAGCAAAAGAAAAAAGCCAGAAGTGGCGCTGTGGCTCAAGTGGTAGAGCGCTAGCCTTGAGCTGAAGAGCTGAGGGACAGCGCCCAGGCCCAGAGTTCAGGCCCCATGACTGGACCCAAAAAAAAAAAAAAAAAAAAGAATGATCCACGAATTCCTCATCCTATCTCTTATGTCCTAGCACCCTTCCTGGAGTAAAGTCACTTACTTATAACCCACCAAGAAGGATCTGCAGGTAGCTACATTTCCTTTCACATCGAGGCCTCCTTAATTTATGGTGCTAGAAGACCAGTAGATTCCTTAAGATTGGAGAAAAAGGGGGCTGGGAAGGTGACTCAGTGGAAGAGTGCTTGCCTCTGGTGAAGCCCTGGGTTCAATTCCTCAGCACCACATAAGCAGAAAAAGCCAGAACTAACATTATGGCTCAAGTGGTAGAGCGCTACCCTTGAGCTGAAGAGCTGAGGGACAGCGCCCAGGATGAGTTCAAGTACCACGACCAAAAAAAAAGATGGGAGAAAAGGATGTTTCTTTTACAGTACTTAAAGGCTGGCTGTAGCCTGAAGAGGTAGTATCTGGGTCTTTCCCAGAAACTGGGGGTAATTGAGGCTCTTGCCTTCAGCCCTTAGGATTAGCACCTTTGCCTCAAAAAGAAGCTCTCTGAGACAGGTGTGGTGGCACACACTTGTAATCCCAACACTTAGGATGCTGAGTGGAAATGCTTCAAACTTGAGGCCTACCTGGGCTACATAGTGAAACTCTGTCTCAAAATGAAACAAAAGCTTGCTAGGCATGGTAGTGTGTACCTGTAATCTCAGCATTCAGGAGGCTGAGGCAGGAAGATCATGAGCTCAAGACAAACCAAAGCTGTTTAAGACTCTGTTTCAGAAAAAACAAAGCAAAACAAAAAAGAATAACAACAAAAAAATAGGGCCTTCCTGTTTCAGACTTGGGGTCAGAACCTTTACTTAGTCACCAGATCCTTAACTTTCAGTTGGTCCTGGTGTAGTCCTGGGGTTAAGGCTGATTTTGTTTTGGTGTGTGTATACCAGTCTTGGAGCTTAAACTCAGTGTCTGGGGACTGTCCCCGACTCAAGGATAGTTCTTTACCACTTGGGCCACAGCTCTACTTCCAGCTTTTTTGGTGCTTAATTGGAGATAGTCTCATGGACTTCTGCCTAGGTTGGCTTCAAACTTGATCCTCAGATCTCAGACTCCTGAGTAGCTATGATTCTAGGTATGAGCCACCAGTGCCCAACTGAGGCTGATCTTTAACTTGTAGCCTGGCTTTGGTAGGACAAAAGGAGAATCTTGGCCAGGAGCTGAATCTACAATGCTCAGAAGTTTCTGACTAGGGTGAGGAGCATTTCAGCTTTGAAGTTGGGGTAAATTTCCTCATAGGGCTATTACCCCTGGAGGTTTGACACAGAAATGGAGACCAAGGACTTCTAGAAGCCCAGATAGCCCCTAGCTATGATCTTTAGACAGTTGAATGCCAGCACCTCGCTCTTAGAACTATACTGTATCTATAAAGCCTCATCTGTCCCCAGACCCTTGCAGCTCCCAACCCCGCCTCACATACACATGTACTCACATATACTCACACATATGTACACCTATGTGATTTACAGTAGATTCCTCTGAAGGACAGAGGTGAGTACAAGGGGCTTTCCTTGTGTGAGGGACAGGGATGGGACAGATTCTCTCTGGCTAGAACCTGAACTGTCTCTCTGACCATACTCAGACCAAGAGGAAGAAGGCATTGAGAAGCCAGTGGAAACTCACCTGACAGGGAAAATTGGAACCAAAAAACTACGGAAGCTAGAAGAAAAACAGGCTCGAAAAGCTCAGCGTGAGGCAAGAAAAAGGGACAGGGCATAACTATGGGAGGTCTGGGATTGCCCTCCTTTCTCTGTTCTTGAAACTCTGCCCTTGGGACTCCCCTCTATACTGGACTGTGGGTTGGTGCTTGCAGGGCTCCTGTCTCTTGCAACCTTAGTCCATGCCCTAGCCCAGGCCTTGCTATGCCTGGTCTCTCTGGGAGGTGGGCAAACTATCTGGGGTTGGGGAATGTTCCACTATGAAGACCTCTCTCCAGGCAGAGGAGGCTGAACGTGAGGAGCGGAAACGCTTGGAGTCCCAGCGTGAGGCAGAGTGGAAGAAGGAGGAGGAACAGCTTCGTCTGGAGGAGGAGCAGAAGGTGAGGCTGACACCTAACCCTATCCCAGCATACCTTGCTTCTTATACAGTTTTCTCACCCCTCTGTGGTTTATTTGGACCCTGGACTCAAAAATGTCATTTTTATGGAAGCAATATTACTATGAAACCTCCCAGGAAATCCAGTGTGGTATTCTGTTTTCTTGCCATCTCATACTTTGAAAAGAAGTGTGTGTCCACTTAAGGGGTAGAAAAGAACCTACATAAATAATTTTTACAGGGGATAAAAGCTTTAACAGGATGTATCTCTTCTGTATTTATATTTCTTTGCATTCATGTAGACTTATGGGTATTTACTTTGCACTTGTTTACATGGTATTGAATAGTAACACTATGATGCTCTTTAATTGTACCAGCCTTAGCCACCATGAGCATGCTCCTGTGTACCTTTGACTTTGGCTCTCATTGTTTCTTTTTCTTTTTTTTTTTTTTAGCACTTGCTTCCTGTCATGAAAAGATATTTTTAGGCTTTTGTTCATGAGATGATGGTCATGTAGTTGTACCAAGGGGTTACAATTTTCATAAATGAAGTTATGAGTATAAAGCTTCTTGGTTGGACTAGGAAGGTGGCTCAGTGGTAGAGTGCTTGCCTCGCATGCATGAGGCCCTGGGTTCGATTCCTCAGCACCACATAAGCAAAAAGAAAAAAGCCAGAAGTGGCGCTGTGGCTCAAGTGGTAGAGCGTTAGTCTACAGCTGAAGAGCTGAAGGACAGCGCCCAGGCCCAGAGTTCAGGCCCCATGACTGGACCCAAAAAAAAAAAGCTTCTTGGTCAGCGTTACCCTCCCTTCATTTTCCCCGTCTTCCCCTTTCCATCCCTAGGCTTTTCTATTATATTACTTGCCTTAGCATTAGTTTCATATTTTTTTATTAATCTTTTGTGTGTGTGTATGTGTGTTGGTCCTGGGGGTTGAACTCAGGGCCTGGGTACTATCTCTCAGCATTTTTGCTCAAGACTAGTAGTGCTCTACACTTGAGCTATAGCTTCACTTCTGGCTTTTTGGTGGTTAACTGGAGATAAGAATCTCATGGACTTTACTGCTTGGGCTGGCTTCAACCTGTGATCCTCAGATCTCAGCTTCCTGAGCCCTAGGATTACAGGTGTGCACCACTGGCATCTGGATTTCATTATCTTTAAGTAATAGTTTAAAGGCTTCCAATTCAACAGTCAATTTATGAATACATTGCCTCTTCATCAGTATCATCCCTTTCCATCATTCTCCCTCATCCTCATCCTATTATTTCTTTATATTTTTTCAATTCTTTTGGTTACTGTATTACACTTTATTGGATATATTTTTGTTTGTGATTATATTACATATCATTTACTATAAATTTATTTGCATTATACATATATAAATGAACAGATACATACCTATTGTTTCATATTTTATTTTATTTTTTTGGGGGGGGTCCTGTTGTGGGGCCTGAACTCTGGGCCTGGGCGCTGTCCCTCAGCTCTTCAGCTCAAGGCTAGCTCTCTACCACTTGAGCCACAGCACCACTTCTGGCTTTTTTCTTTTTGCGTATGTGGTGCTGAGGAATCGAACCCAGGGCCTCAGGCATGCAAGGCAAGCGCTCTACCACTGAGCCACCTTCCCAGCCCTCATATTTTATTTATTTATTTATTTTTACTAGTCTGGAGGCTTGAACTCAGAGCCTGGGCGCTGCCCCTGAGCTGTTTTTTGCTCAAGGCTAGTACTGTACCACTTGAGCCACAGTGCCTCTTCCAGCTTTTTTTGTGTATGTGGTACTGAGGAATTGAACCCAGGGCTTCATACATTCTAGGCAAGCACTCTACCACTAAGTCACATTCCCAGCCCGAAATCTCATTTTTGACCAATGTATCGGGCCAGATGACTATGGGATTCATTGAGCCAGGGAACCATCAGGATGATTACACATGGGAGATAGATAACAAGGTCTGTTCAATGCCTGTTTCATGTGGATAGTTGTGTGTTCAGTTGAAGAGATTAGAGTGGAAATACAAGTGGCAGTCAGGGGGAGTTGAGGCTGTAGGCTAGGCAAAATGGTCAAGAGTGCGTGAGGGAGAAAGCAAAAGCAAGGCTGAATGTTGGCGGTAGAGAGGAAGCCCATGAAATGGAAGGTAGAAGCCAAGGGATAAGAGGAGATGGTTTGCCATACCCAGAACCATTATCACAGCAGGGGTTTGAGGCTGAAGGTTGTCCTTTGGGTTTGTGAGGTACAGGGTGTGAACGAGACCATAGTGGAGCCTGGTACACTGAAACCAGCTTGGAGTAGGCTGCTGGGTGCATAGGTGGTGAGAAAATGGAATCTGGTTTTTGTTTACAAAGTCTGTATATGCTTGAGTAAGGAGAAGGCGGGATTGTGGCAAGGTTTTTTTAAAAGAGATTCTTGCTAACTTACCTCTTGATCAGAAAGGGAAGGGCAAGAGGCTGAGGAGACTTTGTCTGGGTGGTGACGGAGCTGAGGACAAGAGAAGCCTCTCAGCCAGGCGCCGGTGGCTCACGACTGTAATCCTAGCTACTCAGGAGGCTGAGATCTGAGGATAGAGGTTCAAAGCCAGCCCAGGCAGGAAAGTCCATGAGACTCTGATCTCCAATAAACCACTAGAAAACCGGAAGTGGCGCTGTGGCTCAAGTGGTAGAGCACTTGCCTTGAGCTGAAGAGCGCAGGGACAGCGCCCAAGCCCAGTGTTCAAGCCCCATGATCAACAACAACAACAAAAAAAGAGAAGCCTCTCTGCCTGTTGTTTACCTGGAAGACCATGGAGTGGGAGTCTTGAAGTCACTGAGAATAGACTGGGCTGTGTGTCCTGGGGTCCTGCAGGGACAGCAGAATCCAGAGCAGGGATAAATAGGCAGCTGCCCTGACTGTTGAGCCTCTGTGTCCACAGGCAGAGGAGGAGAGAAAGGCCCGGGAGGAGCAAGCCCGGCGGGAGCATGAAGAGTACCTGAAACTGAAGGAGGCCTTCGTGGTAGAGGAGGAGGGTGTGGGTGAGAACATGACAGAGGAGCAGGTAAGCCCACAGCCCTTGGCTTGGAAACTGAGAGGTAGGTGGGCATCAGTACTAGTAGGCCATTGTGGTGCGAGCCTTGTTCTCAGTGTCCCATCACCCCAAACCTTGGGACATTGTGCTGCTTATGCAGTCAGTTGGTTGTGCTGGCACACGGGCAGTCGGCAGGCAGGCAAACAGTTGGGGCCAGATATGAGCTTTTTTGTCTCTATCAGGAAGACACTTACTCTATTTCTCTGCCCCTCTAGTCCCACAGCTTTTTGACAGAATTCATCAACTACATTAAGGTAAGAGGCTCAGAAGAACACTGTTGTCAGCTCCTGCCATCTGTGTGTGTGTGCATGTGTGTTCATTCGCAGAGCTCAGTGGTCAAGGCAGAAGTGGTCACTGCAGGTACTGGTGGATCATTCAGTCTTGTACAGGAGTAGCAGAGCCCAGAGGAGCTAAGCTGCTGGGTCTAGGCCAGGAAACCCTTCCCTTTCAGACTCAATAGGTAAAGAAGGACTGGGGGAGGCTCAAGTGTCTGATGGCATCCTCACACTTGGTTTGACAGATCCCCCTGCTCTTCAGACCCCACGCTCAGTGAGTCATTGTGTTTTCAAATCTGTTCACATGTGTTTTCTGTCAGTTCTGTCACACTGAGCCTCTGCTGAGTTGAAGCAGGCACCCTCTGCCATGTGCTGCTGACCGGGAACATGGGTTTTCCAGGAGAATAAGGGTGGTATTTCCTTTGAAACCAGGGCAGGCAGGGCAACATTGTGCCCTGTCAGCCCACAGCTACCTCAAAGGCCACACTCTGGGATGCATAAGCATGTCCCTATCTGCTTCGCTGCTAGGCAACTTATCTCCCACAAAGGATGCAGTAAGGGGAGAGGTTTTCAAGTGCAACTCAGAGGTGCAGAGGCGGCTGAGGGAAGAAGTGCAGAGGGAGCGGGGGCGATGATGGGGGTGGTATCAGGGGCTGCCAAGGAGCCAGGGCTTGCATAATCCTCCCCCACCTCTCCTGGAAGAGAGCAGAGTTTAGCCGCCTCCCAGCTGCAGCAAAAGGGTGCGCTCACAGCCTGCGGCTCAGGGTCCCTAAGACAGAGAAACACTGATAGCTTCCACAACATTCTGTTTCCTCCGGCTGCAAATATTCCCTTTTGTTGGAACCTTTTTCCCTATCCTGCACACTCAAGTGTATGCCTTCTCCAGAAAGCCTTTCCAGGTGGATTTTGCACATGGAATATTGATGTGAGATAATGGGCATTGCTTGCTTTCGCTGGTCCACTCCACTTTTGACCATGGCTGGGTTTGTCTGTTTCTTTGGTCATTTCTTTTTCCAACACACTTTTGACTAGGTCCTCATGTTGACTTTGTGGTCCTGCTCTGAGCTGTCACTGAGCCTGATGTCTGGTACCTGTTTTGTAGGTAGTGGCTGGCTGGCCAGGTCACCTTGTGCTTGCCTGCTCCCTGGCCCAATTGCCTCTTGCTTGCCTCCCTACTTGTACATATGGTTTGGCATTTCAAACAAGTCACATGCCGTCTGCAGCTGGGGAGGTGTCACAGTGTCATTCCTCCCCCAGCTCATTTGCTGTACAAGATTCATGGAAATGTAAAGGACCGCCTTCTCCTGAGTCACATGCTGTCTGTGGGGGAGGCGGGGGCTAATGCATGTGTAGACCCAGCCGTGGATCCTCAGCTGCACCCCTGGGAACTCAAATTTCTACAGAGAGTGTGACAACAGCACGTGTTGCACAGGGCTGCACATGGGAAGCACTCTTCAGTGTTAGCGACAGTTATTTTCAGGGTGGGCTAAGTGCCTCAGACAGGGTGAAGGGAATGAGTGAAAAGAAGTGTGAGTATGTCAGGGTGGTGGAGGATCTAGGCTGAGTGGGTAGGGAACATAGGTGAGACAGGAATGAGCCCCCACTTGGGGCTCTGAGAGATCGCAGTTTATGGAGGCCTTTTATCTTTTTCTCTCCTGTCCCTGTCCATCTTTCCTATCTCACCAGCTGGGCTGTGAACTTAATGAGTGGGAGCTGTGTCTTACTATTTTGTCTCTGCACCTTCTCAGTTCTTTGTCCTGTCTCAGTTCTCAGCAAACACAGGTCTTGAAGACAGGGTTTTTGTTTTTTGGGGGGTTTTTTTTTGGTGGTTTTTTTGGTGCCAGTCCTGGGGTTTGAATTAAGGGCCTGGGCATTGTCATTGAGCTTTCATGCTCAAGGCTAGTACCCTACCAATTTGAGCCACAGCTCTAGTTCTAGCTTTTTTGGGGGGCAGTTAATTGGAGATAAGAATCTTACAGACTTTTCTGCCTGGGATTTTTTTGAACAGTGATCCTCAGATCTCATCCTCCTGAGTAGCTAGGATTACAGGCATGAGCCACCAGCGCCCAGCTCGTAGACAGTTTCTAAAAAATAGATCAGATCAAAATGTGAGCCTCAGGGAGGATACGTGGTAGAAATGATTTGACCAAACTCAGCCTTTTCCCTTTTTTCTCCCTCTCCTTGTAGCAGTCCAAGGTTGTGCTCTTAGAAGACCTGGCTTCCCACATGGGCCTTCGGACTCAGGTAAACCCTGAAAGGTGGATTGCAATGTGGAGCATAGCCACATGATCTTTGTAGCCAACCATGTGAGGGGGGAAGAGAGGAACTACCCTAAAGATAGAGACTCCTAATGCCTCTTCAAACTTGCCTCCAACAAGAGTGGGGAGAATATAGGAATCTCGCACTCCAGGAGTCCTGCATTTCTACTAGATAACAAGAACATATAGGAAGGAAAAATAAATTTGATTTCCATCTCTCTACCAGCCCTGTCACCAAACAGCCCAAATCCAGTTACCTTGGCAACTTTTGTAAACAGGCTGCCTTATGGTTAAATATCTCCACTGCTCCTTTCCTGCTGAAATCCTTCACTGAGAATCTTTCAGGGTTCAGGGCAAGAGCCCCTTCTGCCCTACTCTCCTCCAGTGTTGAAGCACAGAGTCACACCAGGGAGAGATTTGGCTGCAATAGAAGGGAGGTTGCAGGTGGCTTCCCCCCACGTTGGGGACCACAAACCTGTCACTCTCCTGAGAATTATTCTCCTCATAGGACACCATAAACCGTATCCAGGATCTGCTGGCTGAGGGCACTCTAACAGGTGAGAGCGTGAGAATCAATCACTACAGGGCCTGGCCCTGGGGAATGGCTAGCACAGGGAGGTGCAGGGACTTGGCATAGGCAGGATGACTATTATGGGTGGTGGAGGGTTGGGTAGCAGCTGGGGGCGGGGGGGTGAGTCACCTACAGGGAGGAGGTGATAAGGTTGGGGGTCAGGTGAGGAATGATAAGGATGGCCAGAGGCACCTGGTTTGACTTGATGTCAGGATAGGCCAGGCAGGCAGGAGACCTGTGGGGCTCTGAGTCAGCTGTGAAGGAGTGGATGGTCACTCTCAGGCCAGTTGGGGAGGATCCAGGAAGGCTCAGCCCCACAACCTGCATGTCCCCACAGGTGTGATTGACGACCGGGGCAAGTTCATCTACATAACCCCAGAGGAACTGGCTGCTGTGGCCAACTTCATCCGACAGCGGGGCCGGGTGTCCATCACCGAGCTTGCCCAGGCCAGCAACTCCCTCATCGCCTGGGGCCAAGAACCCCCTGTTCAGGCTCCAGCCTGACTCCAGCTCTTTCCTCTTGGACTTGAGGCTGGCATAGCTTATCTGGCCATATATCTTCATCCCTCCCTACCGTTTTGGGGCAGTGGTGGAGCATGGCCATGAAGTTGTAGATTAAAGGTCTATGAGCACTGCTGAGCATTTTCTAGCTTCATGTGGTAGAAGGCCTGGCGTAGGATCTCAGATAGGCACGTGAAATCTAGATATACGAATATCTGAGAGGTGAGGAGGTTTCCTTGCAAGCTAGTGAATTATTTCCCCCCCCCCTCTCTTTTTTTCTTTTTTGGCAGTACTAGGCTTTGCTAGTCATATACCATCCTGCCTAGTCATTGTGTTTCCTTCATAATTTGAGATGACAGATGTGTGCCACCGTGCCTAACCATTGAGATAGAGTTTCATTAACTTTCATGCTGGGGCTGGCCTCAAATAAAAATCCTCTAATCTTTACCTCCCAAGTAGCTAAGATTACAAGCTTGAGCCTCTCTGACTGTGAAGTCCCATTCTTTGTGTGTGTGTGTGAGGTGGGGGGGAGAATGCTGGTGCTCTACCACTTGAGCCACAACTCTACTTCTGGCTTTTTTCTGGTTAAGTGGAGAAAAGAGTCTCACAGACTTTTCTGCCCAAGCTATGTTTGAAGCACAATCCTCAGATAGCCTCCTGAGTAGCTAAGATTATAGGCATAAGCCACTAGTGTCTGGCAAGAAGTCCCATTCTCATTCATACAGTTATTAAAAGAATGTTTTGTGCCCTTCAGGCCCAGCTCCTGAGACCCAGTGAGCCCTTTCTCTACCCATATCCCCTGAGAGTGAAAATGAGGAAATCTCTCAGGTCACACCTTCCTTAACTAGAAAGGAAGTCTCTTTCTTTTTTTAAAGATTCAAGAATCCTAATCTGGGCCAAGAGCTCTGAGAAGAGTCACTGGAGTCCTAGGGAGCAGCAGCCTTTGAGATGGAGGGAAGGGAAGTCAGTGAAGAAGAAAGGCTGGCCAGCTGCTTGGGAGACAGGTAGACGAGGCAGGGCTGCTTGAGCTGGATTTAATTGTACAGTGGAGACACATCGTTCATACAACAAGTCAAACATTCAGCCCTGAATCCTTGTCGTGGGGGATTCTACCTACTGGTGGATATGAGGACCATATGCTCAAAAGTGGGTGTGAGGTGGGAGATGCGTGTCTCCTGTAAGGTCAGTCTCTCTGGCTGCTGTGGGTTCTTCATGGCATGAGGATCTTGCTTTGCTGAGAGTGAAGCACATGTTTCAATGTGGAGGGTTTGTTCTTGTTGTTAATTCAAGGTGACTCCTAAACATAAGCCACCTTCTTCCTCTGGTGCCTGGTGGAGGAGGCAGTTTTCTGTTCTGGCCCAGAAGGAAGTTGTCTATGTGGATGGTGATGGGGAAACAGAACATCAGGCTTCAGGATCACAGCCTTCCTAAGGGGAGGAGTTGTCAAGGGTGATTTTGACTCATGTGTCATAAGCATTGAATATAGAAACTCAGTTCCAAGTAAGGGGTAAACTCTTAATCTCGTCAGCACCAAGTACTTGGAGATAGTGAATAGAATGCATGCATTGTTTGGAAAGCCATCTGGAGCCCACAGTCTTAGTGGGAAAAGGAAGAAACATAGTACGAGGTAGGAACATCATAAGGTAAAAATGGAGCTGGCCGCTAGTGGCTCACACCTATAATCCTAACTACTCAGGAGGCTGAGATCTGAGGATCATAGTCCAAAGCTAATCTGGGCAGGAAAGTCTATGAGACTCTTACCTCTAATAGATTACTCAGAAATAGCTGGAAGTGGCACTGTGGTTCAGTGGTAGAGCATAGACTTGAGCAAAAGAAGCTCAGGAACAGTGTCCAGGCCCAGAGTTCAAGCCCCAGGACCAGCAAAATAATAATAAAGTGAAAACAGATGACTTATAGTTAGATCAGTGATTCTCAACCCTGGTTATTCATTAGAATTACCCAGAGAGTATTCCATAGTTTCATCTCAGGCTGTATCCAAGACCAGAATCAGAATCTCTGGAAGTAGCATCAGAGGCCATCGGTATGAGACTTTAAAGGGCAAGTGAAGTTGAGAGGAACCAGGAAGAGTGGTGCAGATTAAACAAGTTGCAAGTGATTAAAATCCTCAGCAAAAGAGGTTTCTCATAGCAAGTCCAGAGTCTTCCCACGTCCCCTCAGTCATCTTCCCCACTGCGAACCGTACCAAGATGGCTAATGTAGCCCCAACAGAAGCCCCAATGGCCAAGATCAGGAAAAATGTACATCCCTTATTCATATCCTGAAGCCTTTTAAGATTCTTCAAAAAGACAATATGGAGGGAAAAACCATACCAAAAAAAAAAAAAAACAAGCGAGGCTGGGAAGGTGGCTCAGTGGTAGAGTGCTTGCCTTGCATGCCTGAGGCCCTGGGTTCGATTCCTCAGCACCACATAAGCAAAAAGAAAAAAGCCAGAAGTGGTGCTGTGGCTCAAGTGGTAGAGTGCTAGCCTTGAGCTGAAGAGCTGAGGGACAGCGCCCAGGCCCAGAGTTCAGGCCCCACGTCCGGACCCACCCCCCACCCCACCCCCCCAAAAAAACAAGCCTTATTATTTAGTATGAGTCTATTAATCTAATAAATTGCCCAACTATACAGTTTACTAAATAACATTTTGCTAAATGTGTTTTAACTGCTTATACAACTAATCAATGAAAATTTATAGGCTAAACAACTTGAGGGTTCTTCAGACATTTAAATAAATTGTTAATTTAATAGACTAAAGTAGTCTAAGCATTTAATTAAAATCCCCATTAGCTCAGTTGTAGTAGTATACACAGGCCTTGGGTTTGATCCCCAGTACCACAAAGACAAAAAGAAAATCTTTTTTTTTTAATAGTACTGTAGTTTGAACTTAGAGCCTCACACTTGTTTAGTTTGCTTGCTTGGCTGATGCTCTACTACTTAGACATCCCTCCAGCCCATCTTTTTGTTGGATAACATTGGAGATGAAGTCTTGTGGACTTTGTTGGTCTCAAAGCTCAGTCCTGAAGAGTTCAGCCTCCTGAATAGCTAGGGTTATAGGCATGAGCCACCTGTACCTGACTAAAATTCCTTAATTTAATATATGAAATTATTTTACATGCTTCTATATCCTAAAAGTAGGCTAGATACACCAAGTGTTATAAATTACAGTACTGATCTGAACATGTCTTTTTGTTTTTTGGTTTTTTTTGGTCCGGTTGTGGGGCCTGAACTCTGGGCATGGGCACTGTCCCTCAGCTTTTCAGCTCAAGGCTACCACTCTACCACTTGAGCCACAGCACCACTTCCGGCTTTTTTTCTTTTTGCTTATGTGGTGCTGGAGAATCGAACCCAGGGCCTCATGCATGCAAGGCAAGCCCTCTGCCACTGAGCCATCTTCCCAACCCCACTTACCTATTTTTTTTTTTTTTTTTTGGTCGGTCGTGGGGCTTCTTTTCTGCTTATGTGGTGCTGAGGAATCGAAACCAGGGCCTTATGCATGCAAGCGCAAGCTGAGCCACCTTCCCAGCCCTCATTAGCTCTTTTTTACTTTGTGTATGTCTGAATTAAGGAGATAATCCCCTGAGGATTGGATCCCAGGGCCTGGAGCTTACTAAACATATACTCTACTATATGTACTACATCCTAACCTCCATTTTAGGTTTTATTCTGTTCTGAGGAGACAGTGTTTATTTACCCTGGAACAACAGGTATTCAAGTGACTGATGACCCAGGTTCCCAACACCTACTTACATGAATCCTTTGGGTTTCTCCTCACAGAAGGAGCTCTTGCCAAATATTTGCCAACCAAGTTTGGGATTTTGTAATTCCCAAGCAGTGCTGTCCTGGGTGTCTTCATAACTACTCCAGCATAGGTCTATTTTGGTACCACTTACAATAGAGTCTAATCTGACTCAGTTTATATTATAACTTCTCTTTCTCGTGAATCTACAAAGCCTGTTATTGGCAAAGCTCTATGGTTGGAAAGTCATATAAGACAACTTGTCTCTTAAAAATGACAGTTTACAGGATTGTCCATTACTTGAAAACTTATTGAAAATGACTGTGTAATGGGTACTTATACTTACCTTTTCCTTTTTGGGGCTTGAACTCTGGGCCTGGGCACTGTCCCTCAGCTCTTCAGCTCAAGGCTAGCACTCTACCATTTGAGCCACAGCGCCACTTCCGGTTTTCTGGTGGTTTATTGGAGATAGGAGTCTCACGGTCTCTCCTGCCCGGGCTGGCTTTGAACCGAGATCCTCAGATCTCAGCCTCCTGAATAGCTAGGATTACAGGCGTGAGCCACCAGCGCCTGGCTCCACTTACCTATTTTCATATGCTTAAAATTCCCTATATCAGAAAGTTTAAAAAACAAAACGAACCCTTGATGGCCTGAAGGGGCTTATGAGACTGCAGATGTGGCTCAAGTGGTAAAGAACCTACCTAGTAAGCACAAGACTGAGGTCAGTCTCCAGTACTTCCAAAAGAAAAGAGTAAAGTAGCCACTCCATTCACCTGGCAGTTGGGTCATTCCCCTAGGCTTACTACAATAACCTACCATACTGTACAAGTTGGGTTTTTGTAACATTAGAAAATTATTTTTAGCTGGGCGCTGTGTTTTTGTAACATTAGAAAATTATTTTTAGCCAGGCACTGGTGGCTCATGCCTGTAATCCTAGTTACTCAGGAGGCTGAGATCTGAGGATTGCTGTTCAAAGCCAACCCGGGCAGAAAACTCTGTAAGACTCTTATCTCCAGTAATCTACCAGAAAACTGGCAGTGGCACTGTGGCTCAAGTGGTAGAGTATTAGCCTTGAGCTGAAGAGCTGAGGGACAGCGTCCAGGCCCCGAGTTCAAGCCCCATGACCAAAACACACACACACACACACACACACACACACACACACACACATGTGTACACATACATACACATTGTAAGAACATTTTAAAAAATTACATCTATGGAGAACCAGCTGAGTACTTAGCATGTCATTAAACATCCCTGGGAAAGAGCAAAAAAATGTCCACACACAGGGGAGTTGTGGTGGTATTACCTTAATAGCTGGCCAGTCCCTCAGCTAAGCAAGTATGAGATCAGCTGGTAGAATGGATGAAAGGGACCAATGGCTAACAAAGACAGGTCTTCCAGGCTGAGGGAAGAGCAGATGAAGTAGAGAATGTAAGGCATGAGGTAGACATGGACTGTTGGGTGAAGAATGGCATTAGAGGTGGGAAGGGAAGGGAATGCTGAGCCCTGAGATTTGGGCTATATTTGGAGAGCTGGGACCTAAGGGAGGAATGTTTTTGTCTTGTTTTTATTTTAAGACAGGGTCTCATTGTGTATGTAGCACAGGCTAGTCTAGAACTAGAAATCCTGACTCAGCCTCACAGGTGCTGGAATTACAGATATGTGCCACCATGCCTAGCTCTGGAAACGTTTTAAGAAGTGT